GCGCGCGCTCGCCCAGAGGGCGGCCAGGTGGGCCTGCGCAGATGGCGGGCACGAGCCGCCCGCGGGGCAGAGCTGCCCCCTCCCGCCCTGCCCGGAAGTGTCCTGCCCCTGCGGGGCCCTCCTGCTGGGCACGCCCCGGGCTCCAGGAGCCCCGTCCCCCCCACCCACCGGACCCCCGCGACCGCAAGGCCAGGCGGCATCTCCTTGAATCTTTTGTGCATCCGCGTAGTAGAGCCACTTTACAGAGCCCCCGCCGCGCGGCACAGCGGGCCAGCCCTGCTGCCCACCCCACGGGGCAGTTCTGACTCTGGGTCCCCTCCGCGGCTGTCAGCAATACTGCGGTGCCTGATGGTATCCCCCTGGCCACTCGGGAGGCAGGTCGCGGGAGCAGGGAGGGGAAGGGGAAGAGCCCAGGGTCGGGGCAAACTTCCTGGTTGGTGCCAGAGGCGACAAAGAAAATGACACCGCCCCGAGGTGTAAGACGGCCAGAAATGATCTACCCTTCCCGGGCGGCTGAGACGGGTATTGTCTGCAAGGTCCTGTGGCGCGAGGATCCTGGTCTGGAGACTCCCAGTCACGGAGTAGATGTGGGCTCCTGGATTCCACGGGGGCAGGGTAGAACTGCCCTGTGGGTTCCAGAGACTGGGAGCGGAAAGCCCCTTCTTTTCTCCCATAGTGGCCTCGAATTGCAGACCTTGCATGCATGGAACTACTCAGCCAGCCAGGGCCCAACGCCCTCAAAGAAGGTTCTGGTCACTGGCTTTCATCCAGGCCCCTCACGCAAAGGATCCAGTCACCCACCGATATCCACTTCTCTTCTTGCCAAGCCCCATAGGGAACAAAGGTGGGGGAAGAGGCCCTTGACACCTTTGAGGTCACATTTGCCTGGAGAGTGGAGGCCAAATGACCAAGGGGTTGAGAAGCCTGATGAGACAGGAGTCTGTGATCTGTGCCCTAGATCTCTTTGTATGCCCAGATTGGGCCTGTGGCCAATAGGGTGTGAAGCGGATGAAGATGTCCCATACTCGTACCTTCGCTGTGCTGATAGCAACTTCCTCCTTCCGGGAACATCTGAGTTACTCTGGAGACCTTGGTGCAGATCCAAGTAGTGGCAGCCATATGGCAGGATTCCCACCGGGGACAGGTGACCACAGGATTGACCCTGACGTTTAGCAGACCCAAAGCACTTGCTCTCAGGAACGCTCCTGAGGCTACATTCGACCAGCTGTCTCTTTTCTGGGGTGCTCCTGAGTAGCAACAGATGCCACTTCCAAATTGACCACCTTTGGAAAGTAGAATGAATTCGGACCTGCACGTGGCGTGCAGCCGGCCCTGGCCAAGGAGCGCCAGGAAGTCATGCACTCTACCTCCGGAGGCTGTTGACTTGTAACCTTCAGACTCGATATGGGTTACAGGTATTACACTGTTTAATTTAGAGACTTGGGTTGGTTCATTCGCTCAGTTGAAGGGTATAGGGGGTAGGGGGTCATCAGGAAGCTTGAATGTTCTCCACAATCTTTTTGAAATAGACTGGACTGTGCCTTCAATGGACTGTGTTATAATTAACCAACAAGAAAGCTAAGTAATTTCTTACACTAGATCTGCTGTCTCAAAAGTAGCCAGTAGCCATGAGGAGGTTTGCGTGCCCGAAATGACGTTGTGCAACTGAGAAGTGCTTATAACTTAAAAACATACACAGGATTTTGGAGGCCATATGGACCAAAGGGAGTCCCCAGGTGGAGCAAGACACCTTGGCAGAAAAAGGCCTGGCGATCTGGTTTTGCAAAACCACCCGCTGAAGGAGTATTATCTTGACACACAAAGTCATCAGGAAATAGGGTTTGGCTTGGTGACAACTAGGGCTGATAGAAAAAGGGTGGGAAATCTCTCATGAACCATGTCTTGCATTGTTTGCATGTTGAAATGGTACTGCTTTAGTACAATAGATTGAATAGGTTTAAAATAATTTTTTTTAATGTGGTTGATAACAATTTTGAATTGACTAGCTACTCCTTGGGAGAAAGACTTTCTGTTCCCCCAAGGAGCTGCAGTCTCGGAAATCCTAGAGAGCAGTTCTTTCTACTCAGCCCTGTAGGGTCCAGATGAGTTTGAATCCACTTGATGGCAGTGGGTAGTGGATGCATAGGGCCGAGTCCCTTGGTGGTACAAATGATTAAGTGCTTGGTTACTATTCAAAAGGATGGTGGCTTGAAGCCACCCAGAGGTCTGAACCCAAGTGCAGAAGAAAGGTCTGGGGATTTGCTTTCCAAGTCACAGATGTGAAAAGCCTATGGGGTAGTTCTGCTCTGCACCCACAGGGTTGCCTTGAGTCGGAAGTGAGTCAATGACACCAGTACAGGAAGGGAACAAGATCCTGCCAGCACAGCCAAGCCGGAAGAGGCGCAGTGCAATAAAAAGTTGAGTGTCAGTTTGGGATACTCACAGGTCTTGTCATGAAAAGCTTATTCTCAAGGGGTGGTAGTTACATAATCTTGTGTCAACTTGAGGGTATGAAGAGTGAAGGAGGAGTCTAGCCATTCAATCAGGTCACAGCCTGATGATGCCTCCTTGTGGGCATGGCCTTCACATGAAGATTCTGGGAACTTCCTCTCTGACTTTGGCTTCCTGTTGAAAAGCCTCAAGGAGACTTGATGAGACCTGCTTTTACTTTCCTGTTGAGGAGCCACACCTGGAGAGCTGGAGGAGCCTCATGGAGACCCGTGCCAGTGCTGAGGTGCTTTCA